AATTCTCTAACCGTCATTACCCGCTGACTACGGTCCTTCGGCCATTATCACCCATTGACTAAAATCCTTTAACCATCGTTGCCCGACTATGATCTTCGAACCACCATTACTTGACTAAAATCTTCAAACCACCATTGCTCGACTAAGATCTTCAAACCACCTTCACTTAATTACAATCTTTTGATCACTGTCACTAGACTATGTTCTTTCTGACCTCTGTCGTTTAACGAATATAGTCCTCAGACCACTATCACTTAATTACAATATTGTAACAACCATTGCATGACTATGGTCCTCAAACCATCGTCGCTCAACTACAATACTTAGATTGTCGTTGCTCGATTATGGTCATACTACCACTATCACCTGATACAGTGCTATTGACCTTAATTTCTTGCCGAGTATAGTCCCCTGACCTTTGAATCTTAACTACAATTCTCGAATTATCATCGCTCGACTATGTTCCTTAGACCATTATTGCCCAACTGTGGTCCTCAAACCATTATCGCTCGACTGTGGTACTCGAACCACCACTGCTCGACTACAATACTTAAACGACTATGGTCTGCTGATCTTTGTAGCCCGACTATAATTCTCTGATATATGTTGCTTAACTATGGTTCTTCAATCACTGTAGGTGACTACGATCCACCAATATGTAATCTTTTGATCATTATCACATGACTAATCTGACACCCACTGAGTTCATCGCCTACCATCATTAATAATGTCAACACACAATATCACTTATAAGATTAATGTATTTCATCGACATCAATTTTAACTCCCAACTTTAGCAATTGGATTTATATTGGATTCATGCAAAAGAGCTCTTCCAACTTAAACAAACTAATATATTTTTTACAGTATATCGATATCTTCTCTTGAGAAGGGCTTCACTTATAATAAAATAAAAAATATTAGTGAAATCATTTTAACTATGCCAGACCCTGTGATTTCCCTTTCCTGGGTTTTCCAAAAAAAATTGCTAGTGTCTCTTATAATTCTTACATTGCTAGTGTCTCTTATAATTCTTACATTGCTCTCTTATCTGCATGTGTGTTTGATCTTTTTGCAAAGCTAAGACATTACACTCTATCTCTCTCTATCGCTTTTCTCCACACAACAAAGCTAATGGCAATTGTAAGAGAAATTATTAAATATTAAGTAGCACAATTCATAAATTTATGACTATATATGTTAGATCCAAATATGTCAGTATATGATACCAGACCTTATTAATAGACAAATCATCTAAGGAGTGACATGAAATCTTTGACGCCCCAATATCTAAATTAGAAAGAATTATATATTTTATCTTCTAATAATAACAACCAGAGCTAACTAATTTCTTTCAATAATAAATTGCCAATGAAAATAATCTATGATTAAAACATCAATATACTTATGTGTTTATCTCTCTAAAAATCATATATAATAGCTATGAGTCATACAAATACAATATACTTTCTACCAACTTCTAACTAGAAAAGAATAATTAAAAAATAAAAAATAGTAAAACTTGAGAAATCATTTATCTGATTAGTCTGACAATCCCAATCCACTTCCTTAACTTGAAATCATTAAACCATATATATTTAGATTAAAAAGCTTAGCAGGTCACCAAAACTCAATTATTGAACTCAAAGCACAGAAAAAAATAGTATGTTTTTAATCATTTAGTTCATAATAGTAACAATCAACATGATTATGAATCTATGCAGAACAATAAAACATATGTTGTAGTAGTAAAATCAATAAAATAATATAGTACATATATCAAAATAGTAACTACAAACAATCATTCTTAAACCAGTTTTGCAGCAGTGCTATAAAAATAATAGAGAAATCATATAAATCAACAAAGCGGAAGTATCTTTGAAAATTGTCAGAAATCCGAAAATCATAAGCAGTACTATCAATGAATCATACAGCAGCATACACATGATGTTCAATTATTCTGTATCAATATCAAATCAATATTATAATCACATGTTCAATAATAGTAAATCAGTAATAGTAGATAAGTAATAGTACCAGTTAACCAATGAAAATACCAGTAACAATGTTAGTAATAGTAAAATCTTTAGTAGTAAAAATAACAGTAATCCATGAATGAGCAAACAATCATACTAAACAAGGAGTTCTAGTTTGCATGATATATTTTTAGTAATAATTATCAGTATCAGTGAATCAGTAACAAATGACTTTCAGTAAAAAGAATCATCACTTCTGCCCGACAGTATAATAATCATCTCGCTATAACTCTCAATCAATAAATCATGTGAATCAGTGGAGGATAACATCATAAATCATAATATTTAAAGAAAAACACATCAGTCCACCGTCCTGCACAGGTTAAATCAATCTCTAACCAACACCAGTAACAACTAGTCTTTACTTAATTTCCACACACATTAACACATTATTGTAGAAACACACACATACTATTATAGAAGTAATGACACATGTTATTACTCATTCACATATATGTAATCATTCGCAATACTTGTATTAATAATATAATTATATTGATATACCAAAAAATACTATTCCTTTAAATCATACAAAATGCAATAATTATTATTTTAACTGGTGAAAATATAAAACTAACCAGCCAATATGACCAAAATAATTAATACTACAATATACGAAAAGTATTGCAATAGAAATTAACTTAATCTTAAGAAAATATAATTAAAATCATTTTGGCAGAAATCAAACGATAGAAATAAAAATCTTTGAAAATAGAAGCAAAGAAGTCACTTACAACGATCTAAAGAAATATCATAAAAGCGGCGAAGTGAAACAGCGACTAGAAACATAGCTTTCTCTTTTCTCTCTCCTTCTTCCCTTTTCCTTTTTCTTTTCCTTCATGGCCAAGCTACAACAGTGGGGGAGGAAGGAATGGAAATGGTAGGTTTTAGATTTAAAATTATATAAAAACTCATTGTAATGCCTAACGCCCTGACACTCCTACGAACTAGCGTGGCAGTGCTGCATGTAAATAACATTACGTAACCGTGTTTCCTCCCAGAGCCTCCATTCTAGTTCTATTTTAAAAATTCCCGTGAACATTGGCGCTGGGGTGCCACACTACCCAGCACCCCAGTCCATTTCAAAAATTTGATATTTTTCATATTTTTTACGTTGCTGCAAACTATGTAAGAATAAAGAGAAATAAGAAATACAAAAGCAAAACTAGAAAGAAGCTATAATGAAGCGTTTAAAAGCTCAGGATCTCAACTAGCAGAGAAATCTTAAAAGATTTAAAAATGCCAAAATACTCCTCAACATCCCTTAGTTTAAGATTTTAAAGTCTACACAAAAGGCTATATATCAAAAAAATAAAAAAATACAATGCAATGTAGACTATCCTAAACTTGTGCTGCATGTTAATTAGATGAGGGATAGAAAGGGCTACCGAGCTCTGATGATCTTCTTTAAGCAAGCTCGATAGTGTAGAGTGTGCACTAGGCAAACTCCGTAGTGTGGATGAATTTGGAAATACCGAGTAAGGAGTCTGCAAGTGAGTTCCAAGCAAGGGGTGCTCAATGATAAACTATTATTTGGGGGCTGCTAATGACCTACGCTGAGTCCCAGATCGCCTAGAGGGAAAGGAGAGAGAACTAATGCTTTAAAGGAAATAAAATCAGTGGTTGGCTGATCATAGCAGGGAAAATTGAGGGCCCTCTGAATAGGCACTTTCTTGTAGCTGGACTTAAATGTGTGGCGATGGAGACACCCATCACAGATGGTGGCAAGTCGCTACGATGAATACCTTCCTTCTATAGGGCAAGTGGCGAGTTACTCAGTTGACAAGGTCCTCAATTGCCCCCAAGAGGGACGACCATCCTGAGTTTCCTCGGCAAGTTTCTATATGAGGCCCATAGAAACGAGTCCTCTCCTTAAAGCCCGTCGACTATCTTATAAATACTTGAGAATATATATGCAAGTAAATAATATATAATATATACAATTATAAATACATAACATATTGATTGGTTATTCATAACTATATTATTCCTCCAAATAATTTTATCATTATTGGCCCATTGGCTTGTTATTGCCAAATAGAAAACCGTCCATATTGGTTCAATGAATTAATTAATAATCACCTAATCTCAAACTGCAGAAGCCAGGTGACACATAAATGTATAGTTCCCTTCGAGAAATTAATATAAATATCTTCCGCACTTTCCGATAGCCATGTTCCCTTTCACACGTGCCATGGCTCCACCAGCATCTCCCGCCTTCACATCCGCAGCTCCCGTGTCTCGCAGGCCGGCATCAACCGCTCTTGGTGGGGATAATTGTCAACTGCCGCTACTTACGGCGGGTCCCACCACGCATTTGACAAGCCGCGACGACGTATCCGTTTTTATGAGGTCAAATACCAGCACCCATTACAACAAAAAAAAAAAAAAAAACATCGCAACGTCACCAAATACAACGTGGCTTCCGATGATATAATCTTTACCCATCTACAAATAATTTGCCGTCCTTCTGAGGTGGTAGCTTAGCTCCCAAGCCACCTATTTCACCTTCTTAAATTACCCATCCCAGGGTTTCAAAGATGCTAATCCCCATCTTATGGGGCCACATTATTTTGTTAATATTAATATAAAATGAAAAAGTTTGCGTAATATCTTATGTCACTCTGATTTAAATTTTATTTGGGACCATTTTCTACTTCTTAAGACAGTTTTTTTAGTATAAAAATTTAATTTTTATGCTAAAAAAAGCTTTAAAAATAATAAAAAAGTCGTTGAAATAAAATCTTAAACTTAAATTGAATTAATTATAAGATAATTTTATAAACTAAAGTCGGCTTATAAGTCAATTGATTTTTTAATAAAAGAAGAAGATAAATTAGAAGATTATTCTTATGATAAAAAAATAACATAAAAATATCTAAAGCAAAAAAATAATCACAAGTAATTTTTTTTTAATCTTTTTATAATCACAAGTAATTTAAAATTATAATCATCAACACTCACCTTGCCATCATATTCTCGCCGGGATAAAATCTCCGGCGCGATGTAAGCCGGTGTGCCAACCGTGGACTTCGGCCTAGAATGCAGGACTGAAGACTGGAAATAACAAAAATAAATTTCAGCCAACTACAATTTTTCAAACAGAAATATCTGTTGGTGATTACAGTTTTTTTCAGAGTAAAGAGGAAGAATAAAACCTTGGAATATCCGAAATCACAAATCTTGAGGCGCGGAGCAGGGCTTCCATCGAGGAGAGTGTTCTCCAGCTTTAAATCTCGATGGCATATTTGCTGGAAAAGTTTTATAAACAGGATTAATTACTGTATATGTTTTGCTAAACGATTGTGAATTTTTTTCAGCAAAAAAAAAAAAAGATTACCATTTGATGGCAGTAGCTGACGCCTGAGATGAGTTGCTGGAAGAAATATCTCGCCTATACTTAGAATTACCAATTACCATAACAACATTGGTACTTTATTTTTTCTAATTAAAAGATAAAAAATAAAGAAAAGTGGAACAAATTAAATAAGAAATCGTCACCTCGTCCTCGCTAAATCTACCGGCGTTACAGATCCGCTCGAAAAGTTCTCCACCAGCGGCGTACTCCATTACGATCGCGAGATGCGTTGGCGTCAGAACCACCTGGAAACCCTAAGGGTTCAGAAAACGAAAAAGGCGTTGTTGAATTCGAACAAATCGGTAACCATCACCCTTGGCAAATATCTACCTCCTTGAATCGGATTATATTAGGGTGGCGGAGCGAATGATGATTAATAATCTCCCTTGCCACATTCTCGTCGATCTGCCGCATTTAAACCATATTCATGAACAGAAAACATTCAATTAATAGCCGAAGAACAACAAAGGACTCCGATCAAACCCTATGCCCTCGTTCAATATGTTTGACGGCAACGAGCTCCTTCGTCTCCTTGTTCCTCATCAGCATCGCAACTCCAAAGTTTCCAGATCCAATATCGCGCACCATCTCGTACTTCTCCATCTCATTCGATCGCCCCTTCGCTTTCCTTTCGGATGTCTGATTCCAGAGCAACGAGGATTTCTGAATTCCTCTCTGCGCGCCTTCTTTTAATACAAACTGTTTTCGCGGGTATGATGGACAAAATCATGTAAAAGAGAACGGGGATGGCAAAGATCGCCGGAATTCATGTCGGCAAAGGACGCAGACCCCGCAGTGGCGATCGGCCCCAGAGATTCGGATAGGAATAAGATGGTTTTTATTCTCTGACTCTCTCTCTTTCAGAAGCTTTTTCTGCAAATGAACATTTGAACCACCGAGTCCGTCACAGAGAGCTACGAATTCAACAGAAAGTTTATAGCAGAGGAGCCAAATTTTGTCTACTAGAAATAAGAAGTTTATTTATGTAGAAGAGATTCGCTCTAAAAACTACAAAACAAAGCAAGCGTGATTTTTTTTTTTGGGGGAAAAGCAAGTGTGATTTTGAAATGGAGCCGCATTTTATTCTGTTATTAAGAGATATATATTTTTTATTTTACTTATATATTAAATCGATCAAAATTGTAATTATATCAGTGTGGAAATTAATAATACATTAAGTCATTTTTATAAATTGAAATAATAAAAATGGCAAATTGCATTCATTTAACGTTTATTATAATTATATTTATCTAATTAAATTATCTCCTTAATCAATAAAAAATCTTATTAAAATTTTACCTTTTCTTTTTTATAGGCTTTTTTTTATGTAATTGCTAATATCATATAATCTTTTAAACATGTATTATATTATATTATATGTTTTATATTTTCAAGATTTTGATTAGAATTACTAAAATGAGACTCAAACAAATTATAAATAGATGATCATTCTTAATATAAAATAGAAACTTTGAGCTAAAGTAGAGCTTAGACATGGAGAAAGCTCTCTACCCGATGATTGATGTCAAAAATTGTCATCACATGATTATAGTCTTTTGACCATCTTCGTTGACTATGATTTCCTAACAATTATTATCCGACTAAGATCACCCGACCACCTGTGTTTATCTATTATGGTTTGACTATGATATCCTGGGACATGACAAGATGATTTAAGAAAAATTCCTTTAAAGTAAATCTTGGGACATGACGAGTTGGTATCAAAGAAATGATCATTGGAGGAATTAAATTGTAACCATAGCAATATGAATAATTAAAATGACAGATGGTAGTTTGGGATAGCTTAAGGTTATTCTTCATGTCACTTATCTTTATCTGTTATGAATTGAATTATTGCATATATTTTTATAGGTAAAAAGTTAAAAAACTCATGGATCCCCAAAATCATGAAGTAATGGATGTTTGAAGTTCCAATCAAGTGGGGACAATAGAAAGTATTGTCGAATCGATGACATCAAAATCTATAATGCAATTTGCTAGTTTGGTAGTCCAATTGATGGGTGATGCTCATAGTAGGATCATACCTCAAGAGTGGGGGAGAAAGATAGATGATTACAATTATTTTAGAGATTGACACTAGAAGAAAATACATTATTTATCGGCGGTCAAATGATCGTCGGAAGTACTGACAGTTAAATCGACGATTAGACAGCCAATTTTGACCGGCGATTCTTAGTAATACACCGCCGAAAATTCCAGCCGTAAACTGATCATCAGATATACCACCAATTTTTTTATGTGTAGAGTATTGCCAGCGGTTTGGCTGTCGATGTTAAATGAGTTTTTTTTTTTTTGCGGCTTAAACCACCGGAAAATGACCTATAATTGGACTCCCAAGCCCTTCCTCTTTATTTCTTCACGTTATTGAATTTCGTCAAGGCGCTACTCTCGCCCTCGGCATCGAACTGCATTCGCAAGACTCCGGCCGTTGACGCCCTCACTCTACCTGCCGACATTCTCACTCTACTAGTCAACGCCCTCACTCCGGCCTGCGAACTCCCTGAAGGTGATCTCCTTGGTGCTTTTGCGCATTTTTTTTTTTTTAATCATGGATGTTCTCAGTCGGCATTTGCAAGAGGATGTACCTTAGTTTCTTAATTTTGTTGTTGATAAGTATAGAGAGGGAGTTGAAGGTAAACTTGAATTTTGAGAAAACCTTAAGCCCGTATCATTTTACGTTAGTCATGGATGTACTTAGTAGACATTTGCAAGAGGTTATAACCTGGTTTTTTTTTTTGCTCATGATATTATTCTTATTGATAAGACTAGAGAGGGAGTTGAAGGTTAAGTATTTGTCAAAATATAGTTAGAGAAGAAATTATCTTCCATATAGGGAAGTGGAGGTCCATCACAAGAGGTTACAAGGACTTTTATTAAATTTTTACTCATTATAGCTAGAAAATTATCAAGTGGTATTCAGGTCTTGTGTTAAACCATGACTAATTATATTTGATAAATCATCAAGAGGTTATTAGGACTTGTGTTAAACCTTGGCTCATTATAGTTGTTAAATGGTCATAAGATTTTCTGGTAAAACAAAATATGTTATTGTCAAACAAAAAGAATTGGGAGAGAGTTCTCTAAAATTATAATAATGACTTTCTCTTAATGTTTACAAAAGTGCTAGGCCACTAAAGATGTAGTTGCTCAATGCCTAAGGCGCTAGGTTACTACTCCACTAAAATAGGATGCTAAAAAATAAATGATTAAAATCATTTATAAATAAAATTTATTTTTTAGGAATATATTTGAAGAATATAAAATAATAACTGCCACATTAAATTATATTTGGTAAGTAATTTATTTTCAAGTTCCATTGCATTCCAAGTTTGAAAAATCTTACTATGTAAACTATTCTAAATAAGCACAATTAAGCTACTTGAGTAAGTTAGGTTAACAACTTTGGGATAGATTTAATTTTCATTAGTGGGTTGATGAGAAGGTTAAAAAAGCTCATGTGGGTATAATTTTTTGAGTAATAAAATAAATAGAAATTTATTTTATAGATTTATTCTCACAAGATGATTTTATACGAGTTCGAGAAAGTCAATAGTTTACTGGTGAGAGATCATCTTCAGGATTGACCTAGTATTCTGAGTATTACACGTGGTCAGATATTGTTAGAGGAAGGTAAAGGGGGAGGGTTTATAGCTTAGGTTTGCAAGGATATACTTATGAGGACAGTTAATCTACATCAATATTTTATGATGTTAGTGGAGCTTTGGAAACTGTTAGCTAGATGGTTGTTTCCCTTACAAGAGAGATAGAGGAGATGAGAAAGATTCAAAATAAGATGCAGGCGGAGCTGCGATCATATCGAGATGAAAATTTGAAGAAGAAAGAACAAGAGCTTGTACCTGAATCACAGGGCAACGAGGACATGGAGGATGATTAGTGTTGTTATTTGTTTTAAGAACTTTCTAATGTATTTGGAACATCTGACTATAAATTTAATATATTATGTTGATTGTTGAACATATGCATTCTTCTTTGTTTAAAGAACTATTTCTGCTTATTGTGGTTTATGCAAATAGATTTGTTGATTGTGTTTTGTTATTTCGTATGAAATGTTATGTTGATTTTGGACTTTGTTTCTGTGGGTTGAGAATTGTAGCTTGTTGCCCTTAAAGTTTCTATTTTATATATGTTTTGAATTCTATACATGTCTTGTGAAAATTGGTGAAAATAGAGGGGGCTGATAAATTTTTTTGCAAATGCTACAGGTTTCCAGGGCTAACTGACGATTTATTTGCAGGAAACTTTGATCCCAGATGACTCATTTAGTCACTAATTTTTTAATATAGCCGCCAATTATTATTGGCGGACCAGCGGCTAACCGATGGCTTAGCCGCCGGATATACCGATACTTTTTATGGTTGTTCTACTACTGATAATTAACCATCGGTCGCTGACAATTTGACCGTCGAAATTTACCAACTGTTTGTGCCGCTAGAAAACAACCGGTACATTTAGCCATAGGAAAATGACTGTCAAAATTCCTTTCCTATGCGCTTTATTCCGGCGGTATTAAAAATGCCAGAAAACTACCAAAATTTTTCAAATCACTGGAAATCTTATCTTAACCATTAGAAATGGCTGATGGTATTCGAACATTTTCCTATAATGTGAAACCTCCACATTTCAAGGATGCAGTAGAGTCGCAGGCTGCTAAGGATTGCTTATTAAGGATATAAATGTATTTTGATATAATGCAATAGTTGTAGAGCTAAAATGTGCCTTTAGCTATCTTTTTGTTTGATAAAGAAGAGGATTGTTGGTGGTTAGGCTAGTAAAGGGAGAAATTTCAAGGTAAGATGAATGATGAAAGTACTAGGGAAGAGTTCTCTAAAATGTTTAAAGATAGATTTGTGCCAGCGCGCGCTAGGAAGTAAATGCAGGAATCTTTTCTAAGTTTGATCAAGGGGAGCAATATGGTGATTCAATATGAAGTCGAGTTTTCCTCTCTATTGAGGTATGCCCCATAATTGGTTAGAGCTTTTGAGTAGAAGTATTATTTTTTCTTGAGATGTTTGAGTAGGCACCCATAAATTTTATTTCATATTAGGGATTTTTTTACCTAGTAGAGGGAAAGATTAATATAGAATTGTCTAATGGCGAGCCAACAATGTTGGGATACAAGTCAAAAGAGATTTGAGGGGAGTCCTCCAAGAGTGGTGATAGTGGGAAGAAGGGCCAACTTGGGATAGGTGATTTAAGGAGGGGAGGCCCTATAGTTATGGGAGAAGTGGTTTATATGCTTCTATGAGTAATGCCCTTATATGTTCTTATTTATAATTTTATTCTACTTATAGTTTGTAGCTGATGATTGAATTAAGTTGATGAATAGAGGGCAATGACTCTTCATGATTTATTAAAAGCCACCTATAATAATAATAATAATAATAATAATAATAATAATGTTGTAATGATAATAATGAATATAGATGAAAGAATAATAGCACCATATTAAAAATAGATGTACTACCTAGCTACATCATATATTGAGGAATACATGTATACATTGATAGATAGATTAGTAATATGGGTGCACATGTAGCATATGAATGGTTACATGTACTGATTTCTTATAATAAATAGTTGATAAGATAGATAAGACTATAATATTGATACATGTATATTCATGATTTGCAACACTAATTTTTTATCACTAATTTATTGATAACCTATATATTTATATTCTCACACCTGTTTTTTATTTATGGATTTAAGCGTAATGATTTTTATTTTTTGTTATTGATCATATTGAGTCGTATCATTGATGATTGATTATTGATGTCATTGAATGATATTGATTCTATTGATTGACATAAGCATGCATATTGATTCCTTAAATATTGTATTAAAAGCTTTAATGAGTTTTGGATTTCTATTGGGCTTTTGTAAGCATATTATGTGGTTTTATTAATTCTAGGTTAGGAAAGGGGTCAGGACTCTTATGGAATGAGTTGGATTGAGATATTCAAGTTTATTCTTTTATTTTGTATTTTTTATCA